TAAGCATACATGAATTACAAGGTGCCAGTACAGCAGCTTGTATGTTTCTCGTGCTGGATATGACTGATGGAAATATAATTTCTCCATCTAAGCTTTCTGTCGCTTCGATGGCTTGATGCAACCTCCGCACTCCCATACGGTTGAAGGCAAACTGCACATTGTAAAGGTTTCTACCTACATGGTTGTCGTGAAATTCCTTATCAAACTTCAAAAATACCTCTTCTGCTTCAACTCGGTGAATATAACCCTGTGCAAGAACCACCAAGTTTATGTTAATACATTTCATTCTTTTGATTGTAATGACATGCAGCTTAAAAACAAGCAGCTAGAAATAACAATAGTTCTAACCTTTCAAGTAAAGTAGATGAAAATGAAATCTAAAACAGAAACAACATTAAAAAAAGACTTTAAATTAGGAAAAGAAGTGCAGAAGACTCCTTATAAGGAATAGAAAGTTTATTGAATTAAACTAACTACTTTCCTTATTTCTTCAATAATAAATGTGAATGCACCTTTTTTTTTTTTTTTTTTTTTTAGAAAACAAGGAAATATGGCATTGTTCTCTTAAAACATTAGAAGGATCCTTATGTCTCAATGATATTCCGCGATCAAGACAATTGTAAGTTGTTACAACTCACAAGCAAACTATACATTCACTGAGACCTAGCAGGCTCATTCATTCCGTTTAACCTGAATTTTTTTACTTTCCATTAAGTCTGACTCTTGAGTACACTCTAACAATTTTTCTAAGTCTAGCATTTTTTCCTAAGGTACACAAACCACTTTAAAGAACCATCAAATGAAAGATTAGGCATGAGAAGCTCCTTGTTTTCTGTCATTAACGAGCAAACCAACTGTTTTAAACCAACGCATAAGATTCCGATGGTCCTTCACATAGAGCCAAGCTTGTAGAAATGGAAAGAGGCTTTCGTTAATTCCTCGCTCTTCAATGAAGCTGTGCAGAGCATCTCTCATTTTCTCATCAATATCTTGAAAAACTGGCCCACCATAATTGGTTGGAACATCAAGAAACCCACTAGACTCGGTCTTTGATCTCAATGAGACTGAGTGTATTCCCAAAGCATCTGGATATAGCCCACAAAGAAAATGCAAAGATTCCTTCTGTCCTGGCTTTGAAATGTCAACGTGTAGAAAAAGCTGATTAATACCATCCTCCTCTTCATCTCCAATACCTCCAGCAATAATGTTGGCCAACCGCATGACAGAGATACTGATTTCCTCATTTCCATGTGTTCGTCTTAGAACAGGACCACCATGATCAAGTGCCCCCTTGACGACAGTGAATGGAGAAGGAGGGCTAACTTTCGGAGGAGGGGTCATTTTGGAGACTTCAAGATAGTGATCTTTAAGGGACCGGAGGATTATACTATTCACTGCTGATGAAACACCCGACGACCGCCGGCAGGCTATTGTGCGCCATGGCTGATGTTGTTGCTGCAGTGCGCTTCCGGCGAATGCTAGAGCCTTTCGTAGCATTTTTCCCACACTATCAATAAACTCTCGATAAACAGTTAAATGTGAATGCACCTGGTAAGGGGTAATGATCTCACTAGCATATGTGGTAGCTAGCTTTGCAAAGATATGATCACCATCAACAAGTGATGGCCTCCTCTCAGCCAGCCCTGGGACATGAAGGGACAAAAAGTGTGGTCCCCTGCGCTTCATGGTGACGGACTCCATATCATAGTCCCTCATGTTTTCCTGATGCAGGAAACTATAAGATATTAGTACTACCCAAAATCAAGTATTACTTAAATCAAAATCTGTACACAAACCTCCATCTTGATTTCTTCAATTGCTAGTAAAGTTCTAAAATAGGCAATGTAATTATCTCTTCTTAAACCTTCCCCAATAACATCAGGAAATCGTTTCTTCTCTATCATTTCCCTTACATCCCGTGGAATTGGATATGACAGAAGTTTGTGTCTGAATATACTATATGAATCCCTCATAGGACGAGAACCCCCAACGAATCCAACATCTACTGCTGGCGCTTTCTTCCTTCTGTTTCTGTGGAATGGCCTACTCGAAGTCAGAGATTGGGAAACCTTGTCCTCAGCTAAGACAAAAACTAGCCTTTCTATGTTGTCATCACCCACATTGAAATGCACAGCTGATGTGTGCAATCCAATTTGTTTGGGTTTACAAGTCACCCATACAGTTAGTGGCCGACCTGGTTGTAGCATTCTATCCTCTAAGCTAAAGGACTCCATGAATTCCTCAACATATTGCAAGTCAGAACAAGCAGTTGGAGGTTTCATCAGAGATAGCGTGAATGAATCCTCAGGTTTCGAGTCATAGATCTTAATTGACCACAGCTCCACGGTTTCATTGGTAGTATTCTCTATTGTGATTGAATCAACAACAGTTTCCCCAACAAAGCCTGATTTAGGTTTTCCCTCTATCAGCGGAAATGGAACAGATATAACAACTATATCACTCTCTTCATTTGGATTGTAGCTATAAGCTGATTTATATTTGTCAAAGTCGATGAATCCGATGTCTCCTTTATCAGTAATAGTTGAGTATTTATCATCTGACTTATAAGCAATTGTGGCCATGAGTAATTGAAAGGAATTTGAACAAGAACCTGAAAGTTATTGTACAACTGCCAAATTTTTAGATTCATGGAGAAAGTTAACATGAATGAATCAATTACCACAACACTTGACACTTAATCCGAATCACTTTTACACAAACAATCTGATAGTAAAATGAAAATTATGAGAACAAGCAGTAAATTTTCATTTAGACATAAGAAAATAAATAAGAAACACACTTATTTTCTACGGAAAACATCTTCCTTCACACTGAACGCACCTAAATGGTTTTTCAATGTAAGTTCTCCTTTTTGATACTTAAATATACATCCACTTTTTCAGACACCCCGAAAGTATAGATTGATAAGCCTAATAATCAACTTTTCTGAACTATTGCAAGGTTCCAGGTCACAAAATCACAAATAATTTTAAATTTTTAACCCCTCCCCAGAGCTACTCACAAACAACATTTTGCTCACTCAAAACTCAAAACCATACGATTGAAAGTGAGGAATGTTTGTCACACGAGCAAGTCCCTCTTGTCCACAAATAAAAATATTTAAAATCAAGTCTACATCAAAATTATAAATGCATACCTGCACCGTGATTTCATTATAATAGAATTTTCTTTTTACAAAATTATATGACAATGGATATGGAATACACGTGCTGAGTACGTGCCTAGAGACTAGTAAGAATATAAATAAGAGACACTTATTTTCAAAAAAAAAAACATATTCCTTCACAATGAACACACCTAAATGGTTTTTCAATATATGTAAGTTGTCCTTTTTGATACTTAACTGTTAACTTAAATATACATCCACTTTTTCGGACACCCCAAAATTAGCTAACTTGTCAGCCACCATATTGCCTTCCTAAAGGCAAGGTTAGAACGTAAACAGAAAAAATGATAATAATTGTAAATCATTCAGTAATGTCTTACAATCCTAAACAAGAGAATCAAAATAAGATTTATAATTTAGAAATGTTTTCTTCTAGAGGTTGATGAAGTAGTTGATTATCTGTCCGATGAATTATTAGCAAAGTCACTCTTCAAGTACTGAGAGCTTCTCAAAGGCTCATAATCTCTAAGCAAATAACAGTACGTCTAGGTACTTTATTTGTGTCCCTGGCTGTTGTTGGATCATTTAATAGATGTTTCGTCATAGATTTCGATACTTTTTTACTTTACTTGATATTTAAGAAATTGAAGCTGAAGTTGCATTTGGTAATACTTTTCTTCAAAGGAGAGAAGAGATGTAGTATTTTATTTGGAATTTATGATGATGACCAAGGAAGAGCTTGAAGGCGTGCAATGGACGTTTTTTTTATCATATGTATATGCATTCAATCTCACTTAAGTAGTATGTAGTATACAATTGACTTAAGTTCTTATAATGTTCGGCTTGAGAATATTTTTGCAGTTTGTAAAATAGTACTAGATGCTTTTAAATAGCTATATATTAATTTTAAAGAATTTGGTTGCACTGAAAATTTGCTACTTATTTTGGTTATTTGGTAGTTGAATAAATGTGTTTAATGGTGACAATTTTGCCAACTATAAAAAAGGATTTGTAAAGACTATTGTTGTTGCTAAAAGTTGTTCTTCAGTAACAAGGTGAAACTTGCACAAATGGGCATTAATTGTGGCATCTCAAAGTTGTAGTCACAAATAACCTTTAGTTATGGAATAACTAGCTATGGCTCAATTGTTGCCAGTTGCCACTATAACTATATAGTGTTTCATCCTTAACCAGAGTTCTTGGGTTCGAGCCCTAGGTATGGAGAAAATCATGTTGGGAGCCACCCCCGAATGGGCTCTGCAGAGCGCTATCTGGATTTAATCGGAGCTCCAATGTGAGCTTCCGGACACCGCGTGGGAAACCAAAAATAAATTAATATTTTTTTAAAAAAAAAATAATAATAAATATATATATATACACACACACTTACGACTCCACCATAATGTGACTACAAGAAATATGTCCTATAGTCGTCTTGGGTACGAAGTCGCCTTTGTTAGGGAGTGCTTTACCCTTGTGGAACTTTTCGGTGCGAATTCAGATTTAGTCGGGCTCCAATGTGGGTACCAAACACCAGGGTGGGAAATCAAAAAAAATCAAACTAGAAAAGAGACCGAATTTACTTAAAACCCGAAAAAGGACAATTTTTTGGAATTAAATTAAATTCAACTAAGAGGCAAATTTATTCTATTTCTTTTTATAGTTCAACTTCACAAGTGTATACAATGACACGTTATTACAAATCTTACCTAATCATGAACCCTTATTAGTTAACCTACATATTCCCTTTCTGTAATTTAAAAAGAAAAAAGTCATCCACAAGTAACCAAATCACCACAAAAGAATGTATATATATACATCTCCAGCCCCCCACATGACTTGACAAATTAAAATTAAAGCACGAAATTACATTATGTCAAAAATGGGATGGAACGTCAAAATTTGCATGACTTTAGTTGCAATATTAGTAATAGGGAATAACTACATGATTTCAAGAGGAGCAATGGCTCAATCTAACTGCATGAATGCATTTTTAAGCATGTATTCATGTCTTAGCTATGTCACTGGATCAACTCCAAAAACTCCACCGTCGAGCTCTTGCTGCTCCGCCCTCTCAGGGGTACTGCAATCGCAGCCAAGATGTCTTTGCACCATTGCTAATGGAGGTGGTTCGTCGTTAGGAGTTCAAATTAATCAAACTCTTGCACTTGCATTACCTGCTGCATGCAACCTTAAAACTCCTCCTGTTAGTAGATGTTACGGTAAGTACGTAGTAATTAATTAACAGGACATTATGGTGCATTCTAATACATATGTTTAGTTTGACAATAAATTAAATTCAAAAGTCTTATTTATTTTCTTAAATTTAGTTTCAAACCAAACTCAGACAAACAAATTAAAAAAGAGGGAGAGTACTCATTTTCATATACTGATTAGTTATTAGTAGCATTAATTTATCAGATTTTCGTTTATACACTTTTCTCTGATACTAATTTCATATTTGTGCTAATAATACTTGATAGCTGGTAATGGACCGGCAATGTCTCCAATCTCAAGGGGCTCTCCAGTGGGCTCGCCAGAGGGTTCATTTTCCGACGAGACTGCGGATCCTCCAATGCCAGGTAAGTCATGAACAAACACACCACATTCCGTGCCTAGTCAAACTAACAACACTTAAATTGAACAGAAGGCATGGTTTTGTGTCGATTATCAATTATTTATGACATGTTATATGTTTATGGATGGATTGTGCAGGATTCGAAGAGAACTGGGAGTAGCAGTACGTAGCTGAGTTTTCATGTGGGAGACTGGGAGTTCTAAAGAAGTTTGTTACATAAATTAGCAAATACATTTTAATGTAATGTCATGTTATGATATTATATATTGTGAGGTGATTTATATTAGTAATTACTTGTGTACTGTTTTCCTTCATTTCTGTAATGTCCTAGCAATGAACTCCAAAGTTTGAATTTATTTGGCACTATTACATGTGAAAATTAATTTTGTCCATGTGGTTGGAGTTGTCTCACCATAACGTTCTCTTGAATTCTAATTTTTCAAAATATTTTTTTATTTGATATGTTATATATTCAGTCAGGAAAAACAATTATTAGGTACATAAAAATTATACTAAAAGAACAATTAACGAAATTAAAATTTAGTAAGGAGTGAACATATTGATTATGATTCACTTTTTAGCTCATTTTAGGCTTTAGCCCGAGTAATTTTTGAATAGTCCTTAACACATCTATTTATTAACTCAATTCATTTCGAACCGTACTAATTCTTGAAGGTCTTCGTCTTGAACAGAATCCTCTGTTACGACATACGACTTACCACCAAACAAATCACATCAATTGGTGCCACTGTACCAATTCCTACCTAATTCCTGTATATGTAAAATATGCCAAATCCTTACCAATGTTAATCTGTCATATAATTTGTTTTCTGGTCTTCCACATCCTTTTTCCAAATATAAACCAGCAGTCATCCAACAAGATTATTAGTATGTGATAAAACTTTTACTATCAGAATCTCTTTTTCTTTCTCCTCATTTCACTGGGATTGATTTTTACAAAAAGATGGCTGATCAAAGGTACGAAATGAGTCTTGCCTTGATTGTGTTCGCGGTGATCTGGGCTGGAGTAATTGCTCAAGAAAGCAATGACTGCACAAACGTGTTGGTCAGCATGTCACCTTGCCTGAACTACTATGCGGACAGCTCCTCGCCACAACTCTTAGGTTGCTGCATGCAGCTTAGCACGGTGGTTGATAAAAAGCCAGAGTGCTTGTGCCAGGTTCTCAATGGGGGTGACTCCGACCTGGGACTCAACATTAACAAGACTCAGGCATCGGCCCTCACTACCGCTTGCAAAGTTCAGACTCCACCTGCTAGCCGCTGCAACGGTAAGAGAAGAATATTCACTCTAAAATCTCCACATAAAGCTTGTTAACAGAAAATGATTTAGTATTTAATGTCTTCAACTGTGACAGGACGTGGATCTGCATCACAAGGAGGTTCCAATGATGCAACTTCAACCAATATGGCTGCTCCTTTTTCCTTATTCTTTTTCTTTATTGTTTCTTATGCTTCAATAATCAACATCACCTAACTTTGTCTACCTACCGTAGACTTTTCAGTGCATTGTATCGACTGTATTTTGATTAGCTAATTTGCTCTGTCATGAAAGTGGACTATTACTTTTCAAACATTTGCTCATTTCAGCAGTCAGTTTTCCACCAGGGCTGATTGGCCATTGTATTGTATTTCGTCAATCACTATTGGTAATACATAGTCTTCCGTCCCAATTAATGTAATGCTCATTCCTTCCGGGTGGGGGCAAGTGGGGCAGTAATTGGCAGCATTGACATTCATGTTGTAAATTAGAATTATAACAGAAAGTATAGCTATAAGCTGTTTGAGCCCTGCTTTCAAGAAAACGATTTGCAAACACACAAAAATTAAAATAAAATAAAAATGAGCTACATCCAAAGAAGATACGTAATAAATTAAATTAGTTGGCCTACAAGAAAGGATGTACATAGAATTCACAAGCTCTAAACAAGAGGTATGCCACAACAGAAAACCTTGTAGAACTCATAAAAGGACGATATTCATCTAAGGGGACTGTATTTCTATCTATTGATGACATTGACAAGTTTATCAAGGTACTTTGGGATTTTGTCGAGTCTCTTGGCTGTCCAGTTTTGTAAGATATTGTAGAACCTGGTGCAACACAGAGCAACATATCATGTTACTTGAAACATGCAAGTGTTACAAAATATACTTGACTTGACTTGACTATGAAATTGTTGTACAAAAAAATAATTATCATTCTTGAATATAGGAAAAAGTCACAAAAATTCACGTACCAATCTCAAACAACAACAAGATACCCAGAGTAATCTAACAAGTGGGGTCGGGAGTGGGTACAATGTACACATACCTTACCACAAAGATCATTGTGGGGGAGAGAGGTTATTTATGGTAGACCCTCAACTCAAAAGAAGTGTAACCAAAGCAAGATTGAAAAGAAAATCAACAACAACAAAATAGCAAGATGAACAAAGCAAAGAAGCAACCAGCAAAAGCAAATATTCAAGAATAAGATAGAATACTACTAAAAAAGGTGAAGAATAAGACTAACCCTACCTCTCCCACATAAAAGTACTACAACACTCAGTTGCCTACTACCCTTCTACCCTAATATTCGACCCCTCTACCTTCCTATGTAAGGCTGTGTACCACACTCCTACTACAGAATAAACTATGCCATTTTAACACTACCCAGACTCCTTGACACTGGAACTAGCACCAACATGACACGATGGAAGCATTTTTGTTAGGCTTGAGCTTGACTAACAAAGGTAAAAGCAGCACTTTCTAAAGTAAAAAGCACAAAATAGTGCCAACACCTACGAGGCTTGAACAAGTGCAATGCACAATTCACAACATTAAAAAATACTTGACATATTCTTAAAAAAAAAAAAAAAACGCACTATAATGACCAAACTGCAACTAAAGTAACGAATTTGAGTATCTTATACACAAATGACATTAATCCAACTCCTCAAAGTTGAGATTGAAAGAACTGACCGCTTTGTATCGGGATCACTTTGCGCATCGTCAGGGCTAAGCTGACGATTCCTTTTGCAGGTTCAACAAACCCAATAGGTTTGGCTTAGACCAATGTATTTGTGTTGGAAAATTCATGTAATATTTATAGAAAATTTATCAAGAACCCAATAATCTTTTTCAAAACCCAAAAACTCAAAATCCAAACTCCTCTGTGCATCATAGTGTGAAGCACACACTTCTATGAAGCACAGGACTTCAACTCTAGGTAAAAGGGTGAACAAAGGTGAAAAGATGTCCCAAATACATTATCAATCTCTTTCGGAAACGGACGGAGAAATGAAAAGGGAAATTCAAATTTCATGCTTCCTTTATCCCTTGTAACCATGGCTCTGACCCATTCTCTATGTAAGGGACTCTCTAATCCTTCTTTGTGCATTTACTAAATATTAACCAACAACAGGGATTACATTCCGGTTTACAAACGTGTCTATGTTTCCTGCCCAAAAACTTTTTAAATAAAAAAAGAAGATGAAAAGCAAGTTTCTTCTTGCCCTGCAAATGGCATATTTAACAGATGTTGGAGAATTGTGGGCCCAATTCTCAAATCCTACTTTGCCAAATCATTCAATTTGAATAGTCTGGCAAATCATTACCACTCAGCTTAAAAGAAGAAGCAATTCACAAGATAACAAACATAATATTGAAGAGATTCTGTCAACTTGCAGCAGTTTGCAGCAGAACCTCCAATTTATGCATGAGAGGTGATATAATTAAAGAAGAGAATAACACCGCCATCACATTTTACCCTCAGAACAACAACAGCACTACTCATACCAACAACGGGTGGAACCTACTTGAACCTAGTCAAATTCAAGCGATAGAAAGTCAACATCCAGTTACCAAAAAAAGAAAAAAAAAGTATATATAAACACACACACACACACATGTATTTCTACAAATTTGAACATAAAATGTGTTATTCTCATTACTTTAACAAAAAAACCTAGGCTAAGGCCTCATTGGCAGCACACTCCCTGTCAGTGGTGTCCAAGATAAATAAATCTTTAAACAAACTCTAATTCATTAAAGATGTTGGACATGTTGTACCAATAAATCAAAAAGACGTTCCCATGACACAACTCTTATACATGCCGAAAACTACTACAACTTCTAAGTCTCCAAACTAGTAAGGGTGAATTATCTATATCCATACAACTCCATTTTAAAAAGCAACTCCTGTATCTATCTCCGTTAACAAGGAGATGAGAATCAGTCCAGGTGACAAAGCCGAAGGTATCTTTGGACCTGACTGGGTTCAACACGGGGCACAAGGTTAAGTTGGATCACCAAAAATCAGAAAGTTATTCCTACTATATGGAAATGATTGCGAGACCAACTACCAAGTACCAAGTTTCAGGCAACTTTAAATTACTAATAGAACACGGTCAGCTATCCAAAAATCAGCATAACTACAAAAGAGTTTCATCACATTCTACAGCCAAACACCTCCTCAATGACACCATCAACCAGCCGAATAAACAGCAAAATTTAGGAGGAAAAATGCTAAGCACGTAGCTAATCAAGTTTGAAAATTGTTGCACCCTTTAGATGCTATTTAGAGAAGATATTTACTTGATTAAGAAAAAAGAGTTTCTCAAGTATGAGAAATTAGGTTAATCATTGTTACAACCGAAAAGACGGTCACAAAGGGAAATACAACTTATAGCAAGTTCTCTACCTAGAGACTCAGCATGCATCAATGAGACCGAGACCGCATAAATTCTTCAAGTTTCTCCCACACCTCAAGTGCTGCAGCTCTGTCCTGGTGTCGTTTGTTCTTACTTATCTGCAGATCCCATTTGCAAAATAGAATTGATAAGACATAATAATCATACAGAATTAAAAGCAAATTGTCGTCATCAGCACATAAATTGTCAGTTTTACAGATTTTAAAGATGAGAGCTAAATCCACAGTTGTTATTGTGCTAACCGAGATAATCTTGACATTCCATTGCTTCACGGTCTTCGCTGACTCCACACTATCATCCTCAAAACGCAAGAAAAATCCTACAACTGCAGCAAAAGTGAGCAAATTTAATTTCAGATTCCAAGTGAAAATTGAACCAAAAGATAACTACTTTTTCTAGTGAAGAACAAACAAGATTACTCCAATCCTTTTAGGAACTAGTATTACAAGAGGCTATCATCATTTGACAAACAATATGACAAAATCCAGCTGCACATAATCATTCAGAACTTACCCCTGTTAAAGGTCTCAACATGATCCTTAAAAGGCCAATCTTTGAACTGCCAGTCTTTCCCCAACACAAAAACTGCCACCACACGGTCCCAATCTTCCGGCTTCAAGGCAGAAGGCTTATCTCTAACCTCATATGCTGTAACTACCCTATCCCTACTAAACTTCTTTTGCACTGTTATACAATCCGGTTTTGACCCCTTCATCTGCTTCAGTTTCACATCAGTAGGTATAAACACCCCATCCTCCAAAAAGTCCTTCACATTATAGATGGTGATCAAAGTCGAAAACGCACTGGGAACCAAAATAATGGGAACACCCTCCCCTATCTTACTCCCCTTCAAATGCATTTTGGCCTTGGGCCCTCCATCATATCCTATTTCATCACCACCTCCATACCCCCTATCTATCCGATTCTTTGCAACCAACCCATCTTTTCTCTGCAACGATTCCGCCCGGTGCCGCTCCTCATCTCTACGCAACGCAGCCGTAAAAACACTATAGAAATCCCGGTTCTTACAGAACAAAATCGCTTCTCTATCCTTCCAAGGCTTCTCAGCAGCTTTAATCAACTCAATAGGGTTTTGATTTTCCAAAGCCCTAACATCACCCAAGACATTCTCCTCATTGCCAGTAACACCAGCTGAAACAGAAACAGGAACTGTAGTATCATTTGACTGAGGGAATTTGAGGAATTCGATAGAATCTGAAGATGCAGTCTTTCCGGTGAGATAATCGAGAAGGGGTTTACGGTCAGGTAGGGTAACCGCCGGAATACGAAGAGAACGAGATTGCTGAATGTATTCAGTGTGTTTGAGGTGGTGATTGGTGATGAAGTTGATTAGGGTTTCGAGAGTGTAGCGATTAGCTTGAACATGTTTGGAGCGATAAGCGGTTTCGATTGTGCAAGGGAAAGTATAGTCATTGCCGAAACGGTAGTCGTCGCCGATGCGGACAATCTTGTGGAGCTCGTTGCGGATGGTGTACTCGCGGAGGAGTGTGAGGGGATCCATGGAAGATCGATTAGGGATTGAAAATTGTCACTGAAATTATGGCCTAGTTCATAGGGTGAACTGAACAAGTTGGTCAAAATCATTTATTTTAAAGACTGCATTTCGTAATTTAACTCTCAAAAAGTACTTTTCTTTAAGAAAATTAGTCAAACATCAATCTGCCTATCAAAAAAAAAAAAATTACTATGAATTAATTAAACATAAATTGTTTTTTTAAAAGCATAAAGCTATTTTTAAAAAGTGCTTCTAAAAATAAGTAATATTTAATTGTAATGTCAAGCATGCCTAAATAAAGTGAGATACTAAAAATATTGAATTGAACCATAATCCATAAATCAATCGTAATATTAGCTAATTGGCTTATTGATATTGGGTTATCAAAAAATATAGTGATTGGATTAAATTTTTTTGTAATTAACGGCTTATTATTGTGGGGTGGATTACTCAATTTCTTTATAGGATAAAACGTTAACATGTTAAGAGTTACCAAACTTACATTTTTACCCTAAATATATAAACTAACAAAAAAATATAATATTAACCCTAAAGGCTAAAGCCTCATTTAATATTTTGTCACAATATATAATTATGTACTTTCACATGTAAAATTTTATTAGATATTTTATTGTTGTTATCGTATATGATTATATATTATTAGTCCTAAATTGAAAACTCAAAGCACATTTAATTTTATGTTGTATTTATGTATTATTATATTACTATTATAACTATTAACCATAATAGTAATGTAAATCTTAAACTCGTCTTATTCAATTTTGCTCTCTCTTTTGGAATTTGGGCTACTCAATTACTTAAGTCTCAAGGTTGATTGTTGATTTGATACACCGCTCAATAATCGTACGATAGTTGCTAATTTGTTGCCAAATCAACAGATATCTAATTAATTGATTAACGAATTAGTATATTTAATCACTGATAATCGATAGATCATATCGTTAAGCAAAATTATCAACTCGATCCATCTAATAAGCAGCCCTACTCACCACAAGCAAAGACGTAAAATCTAACAAATTGCTTGGTTGCGTGTTTATATACCTGGTCTTCATCAATAAAAAAATACAGCATCACTGTATTGATATCAGTAAGGTTTCTTGTTCAGAAATTACTTATTAGTCAATGATACTATATGAGTAGCATGTCCACATACCAGAAGATCAGTAACTGAATTTCTAGTGATGTTGGGAGACTCATTAATCTCATGGAAATCTAAGAAGCAGGGAACAATATCAAGAAGCTCAGCTGAAGCTGAGTACAGAAGCATGGCAACTTCAATAGCTGAAGTTGTATGGATAATAGGACTATTCAAGGAATTGGGAGTTGAAGTTGAAACACCTGTCACAATGACAGCAAATCAGTAATTCAAATTGATGCAAATCCAGTCCTTCATGAAAGAACAAAGCACATCGAATTGAATTGTCATTTCATAAGCGAGAAGATCTAGAAATGAATGATTGAAACAAGAAACCTGAATACTAAAGAACAAATAGCAGACTTACTAACCAAAGGACTAGGCAAGACCCAGCATGAATGTCTACGGTCCAAGTTTGGTGTATTGAATATGTTCATATCCTCAAACTTGAGGGGGAGTATGGTTAGTACTAATAAGTATAGTATGGAAGTTAGTAGGTGCAATGTGTAATTAGTAGAAGTTGTTGTAAAGTTTGTTATAAAGTCGGTTAAGTAGTTAGAGGATGAGATGCTTGTATAGATATGCAATTGGCAATGACATTGTTATTCAGTTAAGCAATGAAATAGTTCTTTCCAAATTTCATCCTCTCTCTTTCTTGTGTATGATATGTTAATCAAGGAGTTAATATCTCAAAAGGTCACTCAACTTTGATAATTTATCTAATAAAGTCATTAAACTTTATTTTGTATTAATAAAATCACTCAACTTTGATTTTTATATCAATAAAATCACTCAATCAAATTTATCATTAAAAAAGTTCACAAGGCAAAATAAATTATTTTTATACCATATAAACATGAACTTTATAAATATATAAAATTAAATAAAACTTATCAATTTTGTTTTATTGATAAACATAATTAGTGAAAAGTGAAAACTATATTATGGTATTAGCAATAATCATTTGCCTTATAGGAATAGCGGGGCAACAACACTAAATATTTTCGATTAGGTCCAGTTTAAATTCTGATAGCTTAAAAGTGGAGGAAAGAAAATTGTCAATAATACGAAATTCAATATTGGCACAATATCTTTTAGAACACCAAAGTTTTCTTCGATTGAATATGCCCAGACAAAGTATTGATGTTTTTGAGTGATGCTAACAAACATCTGGATTTATTTATGAATTCTCTTTAAAAAATCATATTTTTTACACCAATATATTAGTTTAATTTTTTAAATATATAAAATGCTCATCCAGTTTTGTTCTTTCTACTACTCAGCTGAATTGTGACTTCTTCTCCGAATTTGACAATGGTTTTGTTTTGCTTCTGTGATGGTTACAATGATTCGGTGACTTGATCTAGGAGAGGAAATAGATGGGTTTTTTTTTTTTAATAATATATTAAGTTAAGTGATTTTATTGATATATAAATCTAAGTTCAGTGATTTTATTGATACAAAATAAAATTTAATGACTTTACTAGATAAATTCTCAAAGTTGAGTGACCTTTTAAGATATTAACTCGTTAATCAAGGTATCAACAATGGAGAAATCTAACATATATCAAGGCTTCTCCGAGACTGAAGTCTAAGGTAAATACTCCATGTTATATGAGGACAAAGTACACTCACATATTGTTTAAGTAAATGCATAAATTAGTCCTATTTCAAAAAGTCACTTACATATTTACACTAGGGCACTTTACACTATCATGACGATCTATTACATGTCTTTATTATTTAAAAGTAAAAATGGTAAGGCCGTCATAATTTAAACGTTTAACTGACTTTTCGAGACATGATTAGAAAAATCTATACATTTTCCCTTCTTGTACAATACTTTTTATAGAAAATCATCAAAAATCACGTTTAGAGTTAGAAAAGGTATGTTATAAGTAAATTCCTTAAGAGGAATCATCAAACTCACTTTTTAAAGATAAATCATACTTAAAAATATCATAAAAATTAAATACTTTCAAGTAAATTCATAAAGAATCAAGAAAATTCAGGATATGAAATTTTTGTTCTAATCATAACTCATCCAAGGAAGACATTCAAAAACACGAAGATGTAATTCGTGGACATGAACAAGGTGTTTCCACATGTAGTGGTGGAGTCAAGGATTTTTGTGGAGGGGCTCGACATATAAAAAAAAGTAAATCGAAAATGGAGCAAAATGGATTAGGGAAGAAAAATATTCTTAATCCACTAAATTTAATTTGCCTTGTCATGTTGCGTTTAGTGTTTCTTCCTACTTTTACCCCACTTCATTGATTCTTCTTTAAAAAAATTGTGACTTTTTTCCCTTTTATTTTGTATTGTTCTACTTTATTTTGAATTTTTAAAATAAATTAAATTAATGTTCATTCAATCATATGTTACTTTGAAAATTGTTTAATACTCTTTAAAAATGTGTGGAGATTGATTTACTAATGTTATAATACATATTAAAAGGATAAATAAATGGCATCGCCGATTTTTAGTTCATTTATTAAGGTTTTCCATATGTAAAAAAAGAAAGATGAATAAATCAAATAAATTTAGTTTACATACTTGAATATATTTGCAAAAAATAAGAAAGAAATATCATGAATATTCACGTCTTTCAAATTTCTTCGTTTGATTAAATTTATTTAAAAATTATCTTTAGAATATTTTTTTCTATCTCAATTTCAGGTTTAAGGATAATTGATATATTTTAAGGAGTTCCTTTAAATTAGTATATAAAAAGAGAATTATGTAAAAATAAAATGAACAATAGAAATAAAAAAAAATACAAAAATGAAAATAATGCGCCAAACAAATTTAAACAAATGGAAATTGAAAAGGAGAAATAGCATTATTAAGAAAATCAATGGAAAAATAATAATAAAGCTCCAGCCCAAAAATAATAAAGCTATTCATTGGACTTACATTTTGAGCCCAAAGTTATTAATGCGGAAGAAAGTGTAATCTCTTTGATAAATGATCTTACTGAAAATCAGGTTTTGAATCTTAGGAATGAGTTCTTAAATTTTTTTCTTGAAAAACTATGAATTTCATGAGTAAGAAGTATAAATTTATATTAAGATGAAATCTATATTATATATTCAAATAAAACTTTTACTTTATATCAATTTAATTTCAGATCATGATTTCATATCGCATTGTAATCATTTAAAATTTATTTAAATATAAATTTATTAAATGATTCGGATTATATTAAATTCATAAATATATTAGTCCAAATAAATATTATGGATTAATATAATTGAATTAAATATTTAAATTCAATAAATATGAATTTAATTAAAGCCCGCTCCATAAAGCCCATATGCCATGTCACTTAAATCTGATTGGCCGAAGAAAGTCCTTTTTTAATCACAACTCCTCTATTTTAAAACTATAAATAAGGGTCCTCATAATTCATAATAGAAGACCAAGAATTCGAACAAGAAGATAGAGAAAGCTCCTGGATCAAAAGCCGCAATTTCTCTACAAGTTCAAGAATTCGAGGATTCAAGAATTGAAGAATTCAAGTGTTCAAGTTCAAGATTTGAAGAAGTCAAGATCAAGTTCAAGAACGATCAAGATCAAGACCACCGGATTCAAGATCAAGCTTGAAGCCCTTGAATTCAATTAGAAAGTCAAGATCAAGATAAAGTTCAAGTCAAGATCAAGTTCAAGATCAAGATCAAGTCCAAGTTCAAGTTCAAGATAAAGATTAAGATCAAGATAAATCTCAAGTTCTAGATTAAGCTCAAGAGCCCTTGAATTATATTTGAAAAGGCGAATTCGGAGGAATCATAGAGATTGTAACACTCGCACTTTGAAATAATAAAACGATTGTTGCATAATTTTCCGTTCTTAATTATTGTTTTCTCAACGCGAATTTTATTGTCTA